ATCCCTTGTACAGAGTCTCTCTCCATGTTTCTTGTCAGCTCCTTCAGGCCACAATTTGGTCACCCCAAAGCTTCTCCTCTCCAGTGAGCACCCCCAGCTCTCCCAGCCTTTCCTCCCAGCAGAGAGCTGCTCCATGCCTGTGCCCATCCTGGTGCCTCCCCTGGGCTCTCTCCAGCAGCTCCAGGTCCCTCCTGTGCTGGCCCCAGGGCTGGGGCAGCTCTGCAGGTGGGGTCTCAGCTGAGCCCAGGGGCAGAGGGTTTAATTCAACACAGGAGCAGCGCCTGTTCCATCCATCCAAAATTGAGGGAAAACAACTGATTAACACCCCAGCGTTCCCAAAAGGCACAAACCCAGGGGTGCTGTCTTCAGCCTGTGGCTCCTGGGGTGCAGAGCAAGAGGCACCTTAAATCTCTCAGCGTGGTCTGAATACAGCTCTGCTGATTGCAAAGAAAGCAGAGACCAAAACAAGATTAGAGCTCAGCGAGACAGCGTGCCCCTCGTGAATCCAAATAAACAAGACATTTTGAACTATTTCCAGCATGACTTCAGCACAAAATAACATTTGCACATCAGTGTAATAGCTGATGTTTTAACTGCTTGCTAAGGGAGCAGTCACGCACTGCAGCCCTGAGTTCAGTGGTGGCTGCTCAGCCTTCAAAGGAAGCAAAAAGAGCTGCAAAAGAGCAGTGCTGCACTTGAAAGCCTTTCAGAAAGCACTAATGTATTTGTGTTCACTCTTGAACCCAAGGAGAACACGGCCTGCCCTGTCCCCACATGCCTTGGGGTGGATGATGGGGCTCTTGAAAGGAGCTGGGATGGCAGCAGCCATCAAATCCCAGCTGAAACCTCGTGGGGTCCAGAGCCAGGGAGAAAAGGGAGCCAAAGCCAAGGGGCACAAGTCCAGAGGATGCAACACAGGAGGGAAAACCCGTTTTCCCTTTGAACCTGTGCAAGGACTGGTGACACGCCCTCACAGGAAATCCTATTACTGGGGGCCCTAAGCCATGAATCAATCCTGGAGTCATTCAGAGCCAGCCCCAGGACAAAGGAACAGTCAGATGCTAATTCAGGCCACAATGCTGAAGAGGGAACGTTCCCTCTTTGGATTAAGGATTAATCATCAGCAAGTACAACCTATTTTCATTAACTGCAGCCATTTCCTGCTAACACATCCTTTCCATTTTCCTGGAAACACGGGAGTAACTACATGTCTGAAGGCAAATAAATTAGGAGACAAGAAGGAAATTATCCACAGCACCCAGAACAAGCCACGCCTGAATATTCCCATTGAATAAAGCAGCTAAAAAATCTTCCAAAACCCAACTTGATTGATCCAACAAACTGAACACAAGGTATATAAAATCTCTGCTCCAAAATTCCATTAAACCTTTAGTTTTGCAAGTGCCAAAGATGTCAATGCTTGGAGAGGCTGTGGATGCCCCGTGCCTGGAAGTGTCCAAGGCCAGGTTGGATGGGGCCTGGAGCAACCTGGGATGGTGAACCTGTTCCTGTTTGTACCAAAACCACCCAGGCACATCCTGCAGCATCCTCTTAACATCCCCACTTCTCTGGGATAGTTTTGATGAATGCATCTCAAGCTGTGTCAGGGAAAATATAGGCTGGATATTAGGAAGAAGTTTTTCACAAGAAATAGTGATAAAATATTGGAATGGCCTGCCTGGGGAGGTGGTAGAGTCACCATCCCTGGATGTGTTCAAAAACAGACTGGATGTGGCACCATGGTTTAGTTAAGGTGTTTAGGGCATGGGTTGGATTTGATGATCATGAAGATCTCTTCCACCCCAGTGATTCTGTGAAAAGCTGGGAGGAATCATCAAACCATTTAGGTTGGAAAAGACCTCCAAGACCACTGAGTCCAACCTCCTCAGTCAGCAGCAGCTTCAAGCTGAGACTTGCAGCAAAACAAACCAAAGGTGTCACTTAAAAAAAAAACAAAAACAATGTCACAATCAAAGTGTGGCCTACCGAGGACACAGAAAAACTCCACATGATTCATAAATTCCCCGCAAGGTGCTTTTACATGCACAGGACAACACCCAGGAAACAGCCAGCACTTCTAACAAAGATTATTTGAACTTCACAGGGTGGTGGGTTTTTGTGGATGATGGATTTTTGAGTTAGTGGGATTTTTTTCTGGTGATGGTGGTTTGTTCATTTTCTGTTTAAACATCTGCTCTAGTCACCTGTTGCCCACTTAAGTGGGAGATCTCACCTCTGAGTGTTCTGCACTGGAATTTGCTGTTAACCATTCCAAGCCCTTGCTGCATTCACACAGAGTTCTATTCCTGATCAAACAACTTAAGCAGGAATATTTTCAAAAGACTGCACATATGCACATATGCTCTCTTCCCATGGAGCTAAATTTGGTAGGTATGAGCATACCTGGCTGTAACAAGCTGAAACAAAAATCCCTGAGACACAGAAGCTGAGTTCCAGGCATAAACCCTGCTTTCCACTGCTCTAAATAGTCCCTGTTACACTGTGATTACACAGCAAGCAGTGTTTGCTTTGCTCTCTGAGCCCAGGGCTTCTCCTTCATAGCCACTGAAATTCAAGTTTAAAACAGAATTCAGCAAGCAGCTCTGTCAAGCACATTCCATGCCAAGCTGGAGGATGAGTATATTTATATAACAAAAGGCTTCCTGGATTATTTTAAGGCTCAAGTTCTGCAAAGGGAACAATTGATGAAAGGGATGTTTTTCCTTTGTTTAAAAAAATAATACTCATACCAAGAAGGAAAAAAAAAAAAGCCATTGAAGAGACAGCAGTGCCTTGATATTCCACTGTGAGATCCCTGGATCACAGCAGAGTCATGCACATGCTCTCTGACCCTATGAGTACAGAACCTGTGCTGTCACAGAGTGAGATAAATACAGCAAAAACCAGAGGTCACAGACACCAAGGCAGCTGTAAGTGAATATCTGCACATAAATGATGAGCTGTGCCACAGAATCACAGAATTATTTTAGGTTGAAAAATCCCTGCCAGCTCAGGAATCCACCCTGTGCCCAATGCCCACCTTGTCCCCAGCCCAGAGCACTGAGTGCCACCTCCAGCCCTTCCTGAGACACCTCCAGGGATGGGCACTGCAAAGCTCCCTGGGCAGCCCCTGCCAAGGCCTGAAATTGAATTCCAAAAAGGTATGATAGAACTGGGATTATGAGTGTGTAGTTTGGTTAGAAGTGTGCAATATCATGTGGTGGGAAACTTAAGAGTTTAAGGTTTTAGGATACAGTAATATATATAAACAAGATGCAGGTTTTGGGGCAGATGCTGGTCCTTCTTCTTCACCTTCTTTTCCATGGGTTTGGGCGATTTTGTGTAATTGCATAAAAAAGTCCACTTTGCAGGCCACAAGTAGCTGGTTATTGAGTTAAAATTAAAAATAATTTAGGCTCCAGCCCCTCCATGTCCTTCCTGGACTGGGGACCCAGAACTGGACACAGCCCTGGAGGTCCCTCAGCAGGGCCAGCCCTGAGGACAGGCCCTGCCCTGGGCAAAGGAACAACCCACCAACACAGACCCAGCCACACCTGGTTTGAATCCTTTCCCTTCAGCACAGAGCAGAGCAGCCTCCTCTGCACCTCTCGATGTTCAACCCCGATTAAAGCTGCATTAAACTTTAAGTAATAGATGCCTGCATTATTCATGACTGCTCTGTATTGGATGCAGAGCAAACAGAAGCTGAATCAATGCAGTGACAGGAGCTTCGGGTGTCTGCTCAAAGTGTCTCCTGCTCCCAACACTGATGTACTTGAAGAAGGGTGGGGAAAGTAGGAATTTTTCACTACTGCTGTAAACAAGCCTTGGTATTATAGTTCGTCCAGAACAGTGACACAGAGGCAGCTTTCAGAGAGCAACAACTGCAAAAATCCTGCTCATCATCATCTGACCTGTGACACGCAAAAATGTAATTTCCCTTTATTTCAGCAGCCTTGGTGTTTAGTCATAGCATTTTTTTTTTTGTATTTCTGGTGGTATTTGTTACAGATTCTGTAAGATACCACCAGAACATCTTACTTATACAGCCTTTGAGATCCAGAGAGAGGCAGTATTGGGACAGCCACAGGAGAGGGGCTAAACCCAACTTGCCAAAGACAAAGGTGCTCAGGGCACCTGCAGGGATTAGAAAGAATCACAACTGAAAGGTGCTTCTCTGCTCTGTCTCCCACAACAGCCTCTCACAATCAGCCAGTTAAGGCTCTCTAATATTTCAGAACATTTTTAGGAAAAAGGCAAAAGGTTTCCCAACTAGGAATGGGAGGCATGAGAGACTTGGTTCACTCAAGGTGCTGGACACTGGGGCTGCACACAAACAAATCACAGCTTTTAGAACACTCTTCCTCAGAATCTTTACACCCAAAACTCCACTTTTATTTTCTGATTCTCACTACACCTCCCCTCTACCTCTTCAATCAGTCACGGAGCTTTCCAGCACAGATCAAACCCCACAAAACCATGACAAATCCTATGAGATGCCTTTCAGCAAATCCTCACACAGCTTCAAAGGATTACTGAAAGACAAAAACACAACTACAAGCAGCAATAAAGGGCACAGACCCTGTTTATTCTCTCTGCAGGTCATTTATCTATGCCAAAGCCAGAGCTGGGAACAGAACACAGGTATTCCAGCCCCATTCTGGCTGTCTACACAATATATCACCAGTTTCCATAGCCAAAAGGGCAAAGATTTCCTTACAAGCAGAGTTTTGGGAGCATTTATCCACAATCTACATCTTCAAGTTCTGCTCTCAGTCGTCCTCCCCTGGAAGCAGGCAGAAGAAACTGATCTAAGGGATCTTTCAGTTGTCTTTCCCTAAGATTTTACAATTTAATAATACTGGAGTTAGACAGTTTGTGAAATATCCAAAAACAAGAACTTGCCCCAATTCAGATCACAGTAAACAAGGTTAAGAATGAACACATCACTCCAAAACACACATGTTTGAAAATGCAAAATGCAAGATGCACTGACCTACCTGAAACTGCTTTTCTAGCCAGAGCACTCGATGCATCAGGTTAGAAACTCATTTGGAAGAGGAGAGTGGAAGCTCAGACCTGCTGCTGGCAGCTTCTCACGTAGTCATGAGAGTCACTGTTAACAAAACAGCAAACAAATAAAAGATAAGGACGTTTAAGAGGTGCTAACAGGAAGCCTTCATTAAAACATCAGGAGTTGTTTCAGTGTGAAGACGACCTCAAGGTCTAACAAGAGCTTGGATATACAGGGAAGGCCATGCTAACATAAAATCATGGAATGGTTTGGGTTGGGAGGGACCTCAAAGCTCATCTCATTCCACCCCTGCCATGGCAGGGACACCTTCCACTGTCCCAGGCTGCTCCAAGGTCCATCCAACCTGGCCTTGGACGCTTCCAGGGATGGAGCAGCTGCACTTTAAAAATAGTATTTCCCACAGGACACAGAAAGAGAGAATATCCTTGTGTGCACACAGGCCTAGATGAGTTTTGGAGGATATCACTGAAGGGGTATCGGGGACAGCCAAAGGTGATACAGAGACTCCATCCTCAGAAGGCATGAAAAGACACTCAATTATTAGAAATCTACAGTTCTTGTAGAAATAATGGTGGACCTAAGACCTGACTGGCCTTTAGGAATCTTCTCTCACACTACTGGTGAACTATGAATAGCACACTCTGGAGAACCATATCTATAAACAATGGTTACAGAAGGAGAGATAATAATTGTTTGAATTCTTTCCTCTAAGTTTCCCACAGCTTCTACACAGCTTGCCAGGATTTTCCTAGGAGAACCATATGAAATTACTACAGGAGGAGACCACCACCCCCAGAACAACGTGGGTTTCCCACTGCCACAAACAGGCTGCTGACCACCCTGCTACACCCTTTTTAAGAGCACCTTTTCTTAACTACAAGAGCAATCCAGGAAACTCATGGGATACACACTGCCATATGGAGCCCCAAGTAAAGAAATTAACCTCAATGTTTTCTCTGAAGGGAGCTGCTGAAGTGACACTGGCTCTGAACTCCGCATCACACAAGGTATGATGAGGGGGAGCAAAGGAGGAAGGCTGGAAGCCTTTTCTGATAGTCTCCAAGATAAGCAGGATCATTTAGGAGAGAGAGGAAGAAGCAAAGAGAAGCAAACCCAAAATGCTCATGGCCAAAATCCTCAGGTGGAGCATGCAGGGACCAGGTTTCTCCCCATCCCTGTGCCCACCTCTGCCAGCAGCAGCACACAAACTGCCCTGGGAAGCAAACCCACTCTTCATCCCATCCCTCCAGCCTCCAAGGGAGGCAAAATCAGGGTGGGGATTTGGAATAGAACATCCCTGTGCTGCACAGGGCTCTTCCAACTCAGCTTTCAGACGAAGGAAAAGCAGAGGTCTCCCTGCTCCATTCACATTAGTTAGTGCAATTCATACCTTTCCACTCAAATACAAGTTGGGGAGGAAGGGGGGATAAATAAATCCAATTCTGCTTGTTGCAGCAGCACCAAACCCAAGGAATTGTCTGCCAGGAAACAAGCAGACGGAAGCCTGGTAACTAATTTCCTGAGACTCCTTTTTAGCTACATTTAGGATTGCTTGGAAATTTGCTTTTGAGTTTTCATACTGCCTCACCTTCAATGAGTGCTGTGGGGAGGGGGACACCAGGCACCTCCACCTGCAGGCCAGAAGATTCTCCTGTGCCACAGGCTGGAAGAGGCTCTGTCCAGATGGGCAGAGCCATGGAAAAGCCAGGGAAAGCCTTGCCACCCTCCTGCCCTGCCTGCTGCAGGATCATGAGAGGTGTCACCCAGGCCAGGAAGGCCCTGTTTCCATGAGTAACTGGCCATTATCTCATGAGAGCAGCCCTCCCAAACTTAGCACACTCGCTTATCTGCAGGGTTTGCTGAGCCCCCAAAAGCCAGCCCAGGAGGAAGCCAGCCAGGGACAGCTCCACACCCTGCGTGCCCCCTCTTCCAGCCATGACAGCTCTCATGGATCCCAGAGCCCAGCGTGGTGCTCAGACACAAACACACGTTTTTGATGAGCAAGCTGTGAATCAGCAGCATTCGCTGTGAGAATCCCGAGCTGCTCCCTCGCAGCTGCAGCCTCTCCCTCTGCTCTCCATGGAGCCTGCTAGGACACGTTCCTGCCACATCCAGGATTATTTCTGGGCTGGTGAAAGGACAGGAGGAGCAATCCACAGCGAGAGTTTGGGTACTAGCAGCTCTGCTGGCAGCAGGACTGCGTGGCAAGGTTTGATTGAGCTCTGTGCTGTCTGTCCTGTGGCACACAGCACTGCCCAACTCTAACACTGCTAATACACTTTTCAGAAAACACAAGGTCTGTCTTCCCCAAATCAACGAGCCTGTATGCGAAACTCCTCCCTCCCCTGAGGGACACCCTTCTGCTGGCAGAGCACTGGCTGCTGCTCTGCTGAGGGATGAGCTGCTGGTTCAGGGCCTTGTTTCCCTAAACTCAGTATCCCTGTGGAAACGGTGCAGCTCCTGGAGTTGCTAAGTGATGCTGAGCTGGGAAATATCTGCACATAAACGACAAGCTGTGCCACAGAATCACAGAATTATTTAGGCTGGAAAAGCATCCTGCCCGATGCTATTTACAGAAAGGGTGACCAAGTTCTGGAATGGCCTGCCCAGAGAGATGGGGGAGTCACCATGCCTGGATGTGGCACTCAGTGCCAGGGTTTAGTTGAGGTCTTGGGGCTGGGATGGACTTGATGGTCTTTAAGGTCTCTTCCAACCCAGAGATTCTGTGAATTTCAGCATCTAACGTGACCATGCTCAGCTCTGGCTGTGCCACCCCTTGCTCTGACAGCCACAGTGTTTCCTTCATGCAGGAGTGTCACATTCATATTTTCTGAAAAATCCCTTCACCCAGGATTTCTCTCCTGGGAAGCTGAGAAGCCTCAGAGAAAAGGAAAACAATTTTATCTCATTTGCTTCTCCTGTGTTTTGCTGCTTTCGAATGTGGTTGGAGATTGCTTATCCAACAGGTGATTGTTTCATTGGTTTCATGTGAATTATTTTGACTTACTGGCCAATAAGGTCAAGCTGTGTCGGACGCTGGAGAGAGTCACGAGTTTCATTATTATCTTTTTAGCCTTCTGTATGTATCCTTTCTGATTCTTTATTATAGTTTAGTTTAGTATTCTTTAATATAATACAGTATCATAAAACAATAAATTAGCCTTCTAAGAACATGGAGTCAGATTCATCATTCCTCCCTGCCATGGGGCACCCCACAAATACAATACAGGAGCACCAGCTGAGAAGAAAATTTGGGAGATTTTGATGCTGTGAGCATCAATGAGTGAAGTTAGCACCAGCCTTGTTCTCCGTGTCACAGCACAGCTCAGAACCACCAGGCAACAGGACCCAAACCTCTGCAGAGCTCTGCTGGCTCATTCCCAGAAGATTCCCCATTTTCCAGCACAGTGTCCCAGCACAGCCTGCTGCAGGCTCACAGTGGGAGCTCCATCTCTGACTGATGCATCTGGAGATGTCACAGCCAGTGGAGAGCTGCAGGATTCCCAGAGAGAGCACGTGATTCCTCTTACTAATATTCAGATGTTTCCCAGGTGAATGCTACCATCCTTATTATCCATGTGGAATTACAAGCAAACCAGGATTTAGGAGAGTTAAGTGGCCACATCTGAGTGCTGAGGGCCACTTTTGTAGACTTTGCAGAACTCCTCGTGCTGTTCATCAGCAAAGCTTTGGAGTTGAGGATTCTCCTGTGTCTTTTCCTTCCCACTTCTCACATCCACACAAGCAGCACCATGGCAAAAAGAGCAATAGCAGGCTCTTGTCTTATTTTCTTATTCCATTTAACCAGTAGGGATCAGGAATGTCTGTGAGGGCTGGATTAACCAGCTGAAGAATGCTGCTTGGAGAAGGCATCCCCATGACTAGAGCAGCATCTTCATTTCACACCCTGGCACAGGGCATTTCCATATTTCACTGCCTTTTTTTTTTTTTTGCACCATTTCAGCAGTACTGAAGTACTCTTTAAAATACTCCGGAGAAATTCAGCCTAAATAGATCACTGACACAAGTTCACCAACCCAGTTGTGGATTGAGAAAATCAAATTAATTGATTTAGAGACAACGTAAGGGATTTTGAGAGGATGTTTAGCTGATGTCTAAGATGTCATTTTAATCCTCCTCACAGTTAATTCTTTGAGTGTAGGGAGCCAGTAAAATTTGTGGTGCAGCCCTTACACAGAAAAACATCTCCACAGGCGTGCTAATCAGGGAACTATTTTGCAAATTGTTCCTAATCTACAGTTGCTTGTCTCTGCTCTCTTCCTGCAGAGACAATAAAATCATCCAGCTAATAGCAATGTGAAAGGGAAGGAATGATCCTCATTTGGTTTAAGTAGACAGATCTGCACTAGGGAACCACTAAATAGTGCAGTGATGAACTCAGAGAGGCAGCCCAGAAACATCCCTTCCATCTTTTGGGCATGGAAAGCTGCCAGGAGACCTGCCAGCACCATGCAAACTCATTCCCAGTGTCCCAAAAAGTGAAAAAAAATTGATACTGCAATCGACAACAACATAATTATGTGAATTAGTAGGATTTGTTGATGGAATTTCTTTTTTCTTAGTTCTTGCAGTATCATGGTGACCTGAATACACCCGACTTCTACAGCAGGAGACTCTTTCCCCCTTTCCAGAATAATCAGTCCTGTTCCCAGACCTCCTTCCCCACCTTATTGTTGTTCATCCTTCCAAAAAACACCTTCCAAGGCACATTTCTCTCCACAAACCTGGCCCCAGTGTTGCTATGACCCTTCTCACCCCTTAGGGAGCCAAGTGCCCCAAGGAAATCTCAGCCCTACATGAATGCCTGGACACTGAGAAGTGACTTGGTACACACACTGATATTTTCAACTGTCCACTCAATGAAAAGTCAGGGTTTTGCCTCTACTGTTACAGCCCTCAAAGTCAGTCACCCCAAGCTTTAGGGGTTTTTATTTCCTTTACAGCCTCATGCAACAGAAATACCACAAACAAGCAAAAGCACAGAGAAGAAGCAAAAAAAGCCACAACCCTAACCCTCAAAGTTGCTGAGCCATAGCAGTTAAACCAACATTGAAGGGCAGCTAAACTGCCCCAACCAGACAAGGCTCTGCCTGAGGATTTGGCTACTTTCAGCTCCAGGAGCTTCCTGAGCATGGATTTAGGAACCTTTTGGGAAATTTCTCATCCTAAGAGCTGCTCAGCTTCCCTCCACTCCCTGCAACTTGATCCCAATTAAACTCTTTGTATCCACAACGCTTGCTGGCAAGGAGTCTGACATGTCCCTAAGAGAGGAGTCTATGCGCCACTGCCCACTCCTTGCTCCCTGCCTCATCCCACCTTTCCCACTCAGAGGAGTGCAAAGAAATCCTTTTTTTTCTGGCTCCCAGGCCATGCAGCTACGTTTAAATTACTGCCTAACAAGCCTGGAGGGTTTGCTCTCTCACAGACACCAGGTTGGGAAAAACTCTTCCCCTCTGCAAGTAGGAGAGACTTTGGAAGTTCTTTACTGTAAAACAGCAAATACCAGAAATGTGCTGCTCCTCTTTATCCCAGACTTTATCCCAGTAGGTTCCTAAGATGCCACACTATGATTTTCCAGCACTGCTCCTTATTTACCCAGCAATATCCAGTGGAAATTTGGGGGAGAAAAGCTGACTGCAGACTGTTCCATAAAGAAAAAATAATCTGGTTATGGACACCAGTAATTTTTCATACAAGAAATGGTTTGGAATGTGATATGCCAATCAAAATTAACATTTAAATGTGACATGTTTCCCCACTCCATCCCACTCCTGGCCATCAACTCTGTTAGAGGGCCTTGTTCCCACTGCACTTTTCCCCATGGCTGCATTCCACTCCAGGGATAAAGGTTGCCTGTAAGCACTTTAAACAGTATGTGAAAAGCTTTGTTTATCCAAAAATATTTTAGCTCTGAGAAGCATTAAAGCAAGACGTAGACTTCAGCATTTGCAAAGCAAAGAACTGCAACTCCTACAGATATTGCCAGAAACTTTATTCCTTAAGGCTTTCCAGCTATGAAGGACTATTTTGCTAAAGCAAAGCTACAAACAAAAAGTGTCATCCCTTAGTAATGGGCTGCAAAGGGTTGTCACAGCAAGGTTGAGTTGAAGCAAGGCTGTCATTTCTGTCTTGCTCACTTTTTCAGAGCAGATAATTGATCAAACAGTAGGAAAAACCTGAAGGTGCAGCAGGGAAACCCAAAACTTATGGGGTCTTCCCCAGTAAGCAGCTGTAGAAAACCACTATCAAAATAAAGGGAATTTCCCTGCAGCCTGGCCCACAATTTCCCTTACAGGAATGAAATCCAGCCAGCCTGCAGATCACCTGCTGTCCTCTAGCCCTAAAACACTCATACCCACCTTAAAACACAGCTTTGCCCCAAGCACTCAGCAAGGCTGTTGTTTAAAACAAGAGGAATCAACCACAGTGGTCACCAGAGGCAAAAGCAGCACAGTCAAACAATCACAATTCAGCTGATCCCAGTCATCCCAGGGGAACAGGACTGCAGGACAGGAATATTTAGAATGTTATTGCCTAAAAGCAGCTCGTTTTCCAGCTCAAAGCTCTTCTCATTTAAAGGCTGCTGTAGATATGATCCCTGCTTCAGCAGAGGAAATAAAATGTGCTGGACCCTGCTGCCAAGGCCAGGCTACCGAGCCTGGGGAATTCCTTGGGAGAGGGCAGGGGACAGTTATCTCCCACTCCACTGGTTCTGGAGTAGTTATCAATTAGTGCATTTTCCTAGGCTGAATCCTTATCTATCTCTGCAGGCTCACCATCCCAGAGCTCCAGGTCCATGTTTTTCTTGGGATATGGTTTGGTTGTTGTCCCTCTGCCAGGGAATTCCCAACCAGCAGCTGGTTCTGCACCAGTTGCTTACATCCATGAACTGCCTAATTAATCAATGGACTTACCTCTTGCTGCTGCAAAAGTAGAATTAACCAAGTATAAACAGAAAAAAAAAGACCCACACACACCTTCACTTACTCCTACTGTCTTTCAAGCTGGAATTTGCCTGGTGTGATTCTTACCCTGACTTTATTTCTTTTTTTTTTTTTTCCTTACTCCTGGGAGAAAAGTAGTTACACCAGGCATGCTAAGTGCCAAAATTAGCTGGCTTGCCTAAATGCAACACACCAAGCCAGCTGCAGCACTTCCTGAGGTACAGACTACACTATCAGCAAGTGACACAAGATCCTCAATGCTTAGTTTAAGAGAAAAAAGGAGGGGAAAGAACTGTTTTACACCTCTGAGAGCACTGGAGGGGCAGAAAGGCAGGTTTTTAAACACCAAAAGGCTCACTCAGCACCATCATCACCTTTATAAAGGAGATCCCTCTCCCTCTTTGTCCAAAGACACTTTCCAAACCTGTGGGGAGAGGATGCCTAATTCTGAACCACACACAAGTCATCATGCAAAAGGCACCAGGGCTGGGGCCAGCTGCCAGCTCAAACAGAGATTTCAGTCCTTGCTGCCAAAGCATGAAGAGCAACAGGCAAAGCTGGCCTGTGCCCATGAATTCAATGTCAACACTAAAGCAGACAAAGAGGCTGGAATACAAAAGTGACCTTCAGGCCTCACTGTCCACTCCATTTCTTCTCCAGACACCTGTGAAATGACACAACTGTCCCAGTCAGCCCAGGGAAGCCATCAGTGTGGCACAGGCAGAGCAAACCACACCACAGTGCCCTTTCTGTGGTTTCAGCTGGTGCCAGAGCAGTTTGTGGCCACCTCACCCCAGACCTTCCGAGCCACTGCAGAGCACGGCAGCACAGCAAATAAATCTGTTCCCTTCCCTTTCAGAGATCTGCAAGGGTTATCCTCACCTCAGGGAAACCCTAACAACATCTGTGCCTTCTCCAAATCCTGTTTTTTTCAATTTGGGCTCTGGACTAACAGCTGGCCAGAGAGCAGAGCTCAGTCCCAGTTGGGTGGTGACAGCCTGCACTGCTCAGCCCCAGCTGGAGCTCCCTGAACAGCAGAAAGTCTTTCAGCACAGGGCACACACACAGCAATAAAACCTGAAATCAGCGATGCTGTCTCATTTCCCATCCTTTGCACAACACAATTTAGGTCATACACAAGTTAGGTCATAACTCCTGATGCAGGACGCAAAGAAAGTCTCATTTCCCATCCTTTGCACAACACAATTTATTTTTAGGTCATAACTCCTGATGCAGGATGCAAAGAAAGGATGGGCACAGGCGGATGGGCACAGGCACAACAGCTGCAAGCAAACTTGGAAACACCAAGAATAAGACATTTCCACTTCATGTGTTGTTAAAACAGCTACACCTTCACCTCACACTGAGTATTTCTGGAGCCAAGATTTGTACTGGCACATGGATGTCACCTTCTCACGTGGCTTCCCAGCAGGCTCAAGCTGCTTACAGAGCCTGTCGCCATCCTGAAACCCATGCCAGGGGAGGGTCAGGTTGGACATCAGGAGGAATTTCTTCCTGGAAAGGGCAGGCAGGGAGGTCACTCAGTGCTCTAGGCTGGGGACAAGGTGGGGATAGGGCACAGCTTGGACTCCATGGGCTGGGAGGTGTTTTCCTAAATGCACCTGGGAGCCTTGTGAACTACAGCAAATGCTGCTCTTTTGTCTCTTGCTTCACAGGAAAAGAACAGGATTGAACAAGCTGCGTCAGGTGTGGGGGAGGAATATTGAGCAGGTGACTCCTGAGTGGTGGCTGAGCAAGGAAATGTCTGCTATGAGAAGCCAGAAGTCAGTGAAACTCCTTTGCAAGTCACCTGAACCAAAGGCAGTAACCAAACCTAGTACACCACATCAGAGTTCCACAGGGAAACCTGGGCAGCAAGTCCTGCACAAAGCTGGAAAGCAGAGCTAAGGAAAATTCAGCAAACTGGCCATCACCAAGCACACCTCCTCCTGAAGCAGCTCTCTTGCTGGAGAGCCCATTCTCACCTCAGCCAGCCAGCAAGGAAGGGATGCACACCTAGAAATGCCTCCACCAGCCTGAAGCTCTGCTGCAGCTCCTTCCTCCCCTCTCTCACAGCGAGGCTTTTTATTTCTTAAACGTATCAAGCACGTCTCACAAACCTCTCATAGCCACTTAAAGCCAGGGGTTAAGTGCAGCTCAAGTGAGGCAGCATTTCTGCTCTTACGCTGAAATTGTCTTACATGTTGCTTTCTCTGTTGGTGCCACAGGCATCAGAGGGAAGCAGGAGGGAGCTGGAAGGCAGCAAGGGCAGGTACAGGCACAGGAAACCAACTCCAGGGTGGCTCTGCACAGGTGACTTAGCTGGGGTGCTTTATTCTCCCAAATCCCACAAACAGAGCCTGTTCCCTGGCTGTCCAGAGGCAGGGGACGTACTCTCCATGGGCTGGGAGTGCTTTATTCTCCCAAATCCACAAACAGAGCCTGTTCCCTGGCTGTCCAGAGGCAGGGGACGTACTCTCCATGGGCTGGGAGTGCTTTATTCTCCCAAATCCACAAACAGAGCCTGTTCCCTGGCTGTCCAGAGGCAGAGGACATGCTCTCCAGGTGCTGGGAGTGCTTTATTCCCTCGTGGCAGGTGAACAGCAAAGCTCCTGCCAGGGCATCCTGCTCAGGGAGGGACCACAGACCTCAAACTCCCAGGGAAGCTTTGCCCTCAGCTGCCCCACACACCAAATTCAGCAGGAACATTTCTCTCCTGACACTGACTCGAGTCTCCTGGGAAAAGAGATTCTTCTGGTCACTGCAAAGAAAGAATAAATGAGCCACCTGCACACAAGGAATTCAAGCTGTATTTGCACTCCATTCATTTGCTGCAGGTGACGTTACAAGATGACACCTGTGACAATCAGCTGTGTGTTTAATTAGTCTAGAAAGCAGCTATCAGAGTAGCAATTGCTCTGTGCTAGCCGTCCATACATCCCCAGACTGATGCAAAAGACCTCTAAACCTCAGGCAGAGATTCTAAACAGGCTTAACACCAACACTAACAAGTGGCAGATGACTTGCTGGAGTTGAGAGGTCATCCCTGTGGGAGAACAGCACAATGTGTCCATAAATAAACTAACCCGACAAAACAAGTACAGCTGAGCCCTAAGGAAGCAAAATAAATTAAACAAATTGAAACTTCCAGCTACAGAAGTTATGTCAACTTTCAGAGGTTCCCATGGTTTGCAGCAGAAATTTGTTTCACGTCCTCAAAGTTTTATACCCTGTCTTGGCCTCAAAGCTATCAACTTGGAGAAGGAATTGAACTTGGAAGAGGTATTTTCTGGACAACACACCCCTGCTAGGCTACAGTAATTGCTTTTTAATCTTGCTTCTTCCAGATATTGCTGCAACAATCCTCCTGTGCAGGTAAACAAATGGTAAGGGATGGTCATTTCCCAGGATTTATGGGTATACAGGTAGAAATTCCATATTAAAAAATATATATTCTTTTAGAGTTAGCTTTGGAGAGAACTCTGTTAGCTGAGGCTCTGCTTTCCTCATGGAAAAAGCCCTTTGGGACAGGGAAACCTGGCCATGCACTCTCAGCATGAGATCTGGCACCTGACAAAGTCCTACTGGCTATTCTTGCAGGGGCATTTGGCTGGAATTCCATTGCTTTTCCTGGAATTCCATAGCTTTCCTGGAATTCCCCCACTCCCCAGCACACACACTTTCACTTTGAGCAGAACCAGACAGTGATTTACCTCTGACCCCTTCAGTCCCATCCATTCCCCCTCAGCATCCTCCCATTCCCACCAACCCACCCCAAAGTTTTCACACTTGGTTTTGCAGTGGTTTTGGTATTTCTGCAGGAGCTGCCTTCCCCTTTTTCTCCTGAAAGTTTCTGTGGTAAACTTTGACACCCAGTTACCAAACTGTGGCTTTTGAAAGACACACAAGTTCCCTGAAGAAACCAAAATACTGGTTTGGAACAGGGGGCAGGGAATTCCCTGCTGTGGTTTGCTTCTGTTAAAAATACCCAGCTGGGAGTCTGAAGGCTGCACCTGCACAGATGTGAAGGATTAATAATATCTTCCAAACAAGTTTGTGAACAAGGAAAATATAACTGGCTTTTGCACTACTTCCCTTTTTGAGAAGCCATTTCCTGCAAAGCATCCTTTACTCAAGTTTTCCATCAGCTTTGTAAATGCCAAACAGCCTCTTCCAGCTTCAGCAGTTCATCAGATGATTTATGAAAGGTGCAAAAGCACTACATTGGCAGGAAAGAGAAAAACTGAGCTCCACAAGTGTATCTGCAAATTTGACCTGAACAAAGCAACATATTTTCACTAAAAATTAACAGAAAATCATTTTTCTGGGTGGAAAATTGAGCTAAATCTTCCATAAAATGGGGAAGTGCTGCTGGGGCTGCAGACAAATCCTGTGCTCAGAAGCAAGGAGTCACTATCAGTAGGAAAGACCTTCCCTGGGATGCACAGATGCCTTGTTCAAAAGGGATAACAGGAACATAACACCAAGAGGAGCACTGCATAAAACCACCAAAGTCATGACAATAAACAAACCCATTTGAAATTGGTTGTTTGTCCCCATTTCCGTGCAACAGCCCAAACCAGGGATTGATTGTCTGCCTTCAGTTCCCAATGTAAGCAAGAAATTTAAGCTCCCCCATTCTCAGAAATATCAGCAGTACATGATATCCCATTTCTCAGCTAAAGAAACTCTTCTATTGCAGA